TTCCCTGGGGGCGGGGGGTAGAATCCTGGGAGGAGGGAGATGCAGGGGACTCTCTGTCTCCACTCCCCAGCCACAGAACGCTGTCCCCACTCACCTGGCCTCAGCCACAGAACGCTGTCCCCACTCCCCGAACTCTGTCCCCACTGGCACCCTGTCCCCAGCTGCAGAAACCTGTCTTCTGCCCTCCCAGCACCTTGTTCCCTTTCCCCTGCCCCCAGCCACAGAACTCTGTCCCCACAAAAATGTATAATTATAAATGCTTCATTTTAGATTTAAATAGCATGAATAAAAAACAGACCATTTATTTCATAACTATAAACATGTGATTTTAATTGTATGTATCGCATAATTTAAAAATAAACTGTTTATCAGAGTGTGTAAGTAAGGGCTGGGGATAGCAAGTGATGGACAGGAGGAGAATAGAGAGGGCGGGCTTTCAAGGAAGGGACGGGGTGGTAGATCTTTGCCTGTTCTGAGATTTTAAAAAGTGATCTTGGGTGTAAAAAGGTTGGAGACCACTGCTGTAGCACAATGGGGTATACTTTGCCATTGTATCTTGCCTTTGTCTTCTAAGGATTCATGGCCATTTTACCTTGGGGGGAAACAGGAAACATGAATTTAACCTAGTAAACTAAGAATACATTCGTTCATAAATACAAGGAATTTATGTGTTTTAAACTTAGTACAGTTTATCTTTGAGAGTATCACACCATGCAAAGTGCTTGGAAATTCAGTGAAGTGCATACTGTACTTCAGACCCCATTAGTCATATCAGCAATGTCAGCAACTGAAATTTGGTGAGCTGGAATAGAGCTGTGACTTTCGGTTGTTCAACTAGCTGGCCTTTCTCTGGTATTTAATCTCATCCTTGTTGTGTTGAAGGATTACCGTTACATTCAACACTAACAACAGCATTCCACCAACGTTTGATGAAGAACCACAAGAAGGACAAAAACCTGACGAACAGGAGGAGGTAAATTTACAGCCTTTATGTACCCTTTGCGCAGCCCCTGAAAATTGCATCCCTTTAATGCATCTGTAACTGGACATCCAAAATCGCTACTCCCTGAGGGCTTGTCTACACTATGCGATTAATTTGAATTTACTGAATTCAAGTTCTGGGCATCCAGTGGTGAGAGGTCGAGGACCCATGTCCCCACAGCAGAGGAAGAAAGACACTCTTGTCTGGCATAAAATGTGCCATTCAAAAGGATCCTTTGTAGCTAAAAGCAAAGGAAACTAAGATGTTCAAACTTGTGGCTGCCTTTACAACTTACTGGAAGGAAGTATAGTTAAAAAATTGTATTGTTATATTCACATCCCTTGATCTTTTAAAGTGAGCAATGTGACGGTTTGAGGCAAAAGTTTGCTTTGCTATGAACGCTGTTAGACATTCAAGGAGTCTGTAATGTCTAAAAATTAGTGATGCTAAGAAATGGGTAATTTGTTAATCATGTAGTCGATAAAAATTTTGTTGACTACACGATTAGTAGATAAGGGATAGCACTGCTATCACTCAGTCCTAGCTCCTGCGGCAGCAGGGGTTGATGCTGGGTTCCGGCACGAGGCAGGACTGAGCCAGCCTGCCCGTGCGCTGGCTCAAAAATTTAGTTGCGGGGCAGGGGAGGGTTGCGTGTCGTTGATGATGATAATTGATAAGCACCTGCTTATTGGTTAATTGTCCAGTCGAGTACACTATTACATCCCTACTAAAAACATGTTTGAAGTTTGTAGTAGTAGACTTGTGCTGCTTACTTTCCTCTAGGGATATTAAAATTAATCAACTAATCGAATAGTTGATGGAATTCCCATTGATTATTTGATTAGTCAGTAAGGGCGCTTCTGCTTTGAAATGCAGCAAGAGCCTGCCTGGCTGTTGCTACATTTCAAAGGTGGAATGCCACTACTGTACCATTGCCCCCTCCCACGGAGCTGGGGGAAACCGGCTTTTAAGATGGCTCCCCCCACCATTGCCGCCCTCCCCCCTCCACTCATCTGTTGCTGCCTCTTGCAAGGGAGGGATGCAACTAGTTGACTAATGTGTCAACTATCTGATAAGCTTTTGCTTAGTCGTTTACATCCCTGCTTTCCACTATTACTCTTGCACTATGAGATAACTAGCATAGATGGAGCCCAAGGCTAATATGATCTTCTCTTACTTTTCACAGCCTGAACTTACATCAACTCCTAACTTTGTTGTGGAAGTATCAAAAGATGACCCCAAACAGACTCTTGTGCTTGACTGCCACTATCCTGAGGATGAGGTAGATATTATAATTGGAGGAAGTGAACTGCTGAAAATTATGGGTTGAGTGGGACAATGCATTGTGATTTTGTGTCCATTATCCACCTGGCTGTTGCAAGATCTTGTTATTGCTTCGGTTGTACAAAATATACCAGCTTCTATAATCTGTAGGGAGTCCTACTATCTGTTCAGTGCAGCACAGTAAAAGGCTTTGTTTGCAGAGCCAGGAACTTCTCCACTCATCTGATCTTGCTTCCTTATTTATAGCTGCTTGCTTTCCTTTGAGCTAGTTTCAGCTGAAAAGAGTAGGCAGAAGTGAGTGAGCAGGGATTGTTAGCAGTGTACCACAACTTGAAAGATACAGCAATTTAAAACTGAGAAAAGAAAACAGACTTGTGGACTTCATTGTCACTACATGTCATTGAGACCCAGAGTGAAATTCCAAAATAATGTAGACATTCTGTTGAGAACATTGTAGTTGCATTTGACTTTTGAAAGAAAACCCTTAATAAAAATCCTTAGATGGGCTTCCTGGTATGTAAGTCGTACTCTAGTTGAGAACATTTAAGGGGAAACTTTTTCTTGGATTATTCCAGAATTGTCCATTAGAAGATTTTGTACATCTTCTCCTGAAGCAATTGGTACTGGCCCCTATCAGAGACAGGATAATGGGCCATGAAGAATGGTAGATTTATGTGGTTGTGTGCTTACATGTAAGTGTCCTTACCACATGTACACAGGAGGAGGAGAACTGGGACCGCCTCAGTATGAGGCTTAGTGAGCAGAAACTGCAGGGCTACGTTGAGACTGCAGGCTTCTTGTGTAAGAATTATTTTCTGCAAGAGTTCTGGTGGAAGAGTGTTCACACTGCCATGTGCTTTTGTGCAAGAGCGTCCATGGCAATGTGGATGCTCTCTTGTGCAAGAAAGCTCTGATGGCCATTTTAGTCATGGGGGTTTCTTGCGCAAGAAGCCCTCTGTTCCGACACTGTACTGTAAATTTACTTGCGCAAGAACGCGCATGCAGCTTAGACGCTCTGCAAGTTTTTGCGCAAGAACTGCTGTTCTGCAAGAAGCCTGCAGTGCAGACATAGCCCAAGTGTATACAGCTCTACCCTGTGGCAGTCATATGGTGTTTGGGGCACCATAGCTTCTGCCAGATGAACATAATGGTTGCAGATGCTCTCCAGTTAAGGTAGTTCTTCCTCACAACTCTCCTTTCTTGTCTCAGATTGGACATGGGGAAGAAGAGGAGAGTGACATTTTCTCAATTCGGGAGGTCAGCTTTCAACCCACTGGAGAATCAGACTGGAAGGACACCAACTACACTCTCAACACAGACTCCCTTGACTGGGTAGGTTCAGTACGCTAGACTGCATAGAGCTTAGCTCAACTTGTCCCGTGTGATTTTTCTCTGTAGACATTGATGTAATCACCAGGCATTCTGGTCTGGGATCACTTCTTGATGAGGCACTCTCATTGAGAAGTAGGGTCCTGTGGTTAGGGTGTTGTTTAGGACTTGGTATTCCCTACTCTGCCCCAGGCTTCCTGTGCAACTTTAGGCAACTCTCACCTCAGTTTCCCACCTGTAAAATGGGGATAACACTGCTGTCCCTTATGAGGTGCTTTGAAGATGTGAGATGCTCAGATATTACGGTGACGGAGGCCATATACATACCTAACATAAAATAAAGTCCCTGAGAGGTCTGAAAGCTGATCAGTAGGACGGAGCTCTGCACCAGTGTCTGATCAAGTGTCAGTGACATTATCCCAATTGCATGAAAATGTGGCCGATTTAAAGTACAGTTGGCAGATGAATACATTTTTCTGTCTGTGTGTAATGACACACATGTGCATAATAAAATGTATTTACCAAAAACCTCACCAGGCACCTGCTGATACTCTCTAGCTGCCCATGATTTGACTGGAAATTCATGTTGGAAGGGTTAGTACATGCAAATCCTTTCCCACCTGTATCTGAGTGGCTCACTGGTTGGAACAGTACTAATGATCAGGGCTTGCCGAACCGCGGTGAGCCCCCCTCGCCAGCCGCGCTGTCCAGCGATCTGCACATGCGCAGATTGCTGGAACCTGGCTCTTCCGGGTTACAAGCTACTCGCCCATGGCGAGTAGATTGTTTAACTTGTCGAACCCTGCTAATGATAATGCCATAGGCTAAGCTGCTGTTGGTGTGTTTTTTTTTTTTTTTTAAATAAAGAAACATGCACAATGCATGGGCAAAGGAAGCTCTTCTAGCACTTACTGTTTAGCACAAAATGTATTCTTTGGGGTGGAATTATCACACATCTACTTGAAACTCTAAAAATACGTGAATAGGAGAAAATGCAAAGGAATCTTAATTGAACAGGTCTATACCACTGGTATCAATTGTCTGTCCATACTGCCCAGACAATGTTGAAAAAAGCTTGTCTGAACTTCATTTGAGAGAGACTCTTGAGTGGCATACTAGCTTACAGTGGCATTAGACTCTCTCAGTATTACAGTGGGGTGCAGTTTAAAAAATAGAAGTATGTGGTCCTTAGAGTAGTGTTTCCCAATTTTATTTGGCTATGGAACTCCAAAAACCACCCCTGCCACAAAAAAGACTTTAAGAGGGAGCAGGGGAGTGCCGGCTTCTCGCGGAACCCTGGGGTTCTGCGGAGCACCAATTGGGAAACACTGCCTTAGGGTACGTCTAGACTACATGCCTCTGTCGCCAGAGGCATGTAGATTAGGCTACCAGACATAGGAAAATGAAGCAGCGATTTAAATAATCGCCGCTTCATTTAAATTTACATGGCTGATGCGCTGAGCTGACAAACAGCTGATCAGCTGTTTGTCAGCTCAGCGCGGCAGCCATGTAAACTTAAATGAAGCGGCGATTATTTAAATCGCCGCTTCATTTTCCTATGTCTGGTAGCCTAATCTACATGCCTCTGGCGCCAGAGGCATGTAGTCTAGACGTACCCTTAGAGGAATCCTTCACCATTCGTGGTCTTAGTTCAGGGGTACTATGAGGAAGGGAGAGGGTTCTTTCCAGTTTGGGAAAAGGCTCATTTCTTCCCAATGGAAAGTGAAATGTAAAAGCATTTAAAAGAACGCTTATTGATAATAATTCTGTGTTTCAATAATTATCTTGCAGGCTCTGTATGACCACTTAATGGATTTCTTGGCTGACCGAGGAATAGACAACACATTTGCTGATGAGTTAATTGAGCTCAGCACTGCATTGGAGCACCAGGAGTACATTAGATTCCTTGAAGACCTTAAAAGCTTTGTCAAATGTCAGTAGATTAGGAAACTAAGTCAAAGCTTACAGATGTGGATCTCTTGTAGCAGTGCTCTTACCAGCAGCTGTCACCACCAGTAAGTTTAAAACTTCAAGGTGGGGTGAATACATCATGGAAAACAAAATGATTCTGTAACTTGTCAATAATTGCATTTCAGATTTAATTTATGTTGCAGCCTGGATTTATGTTTTATGTAATTCTCATGCCTCCTGCCAATTTGGGTATTTTTGTATAATTAAGAAATACAATACAGTGACACACACAATAAAATCTGCTCAAGTAAAAAAAAAAAAACTTTCTGCTTTACTATTGCCGATTAAGTACTGTAAATTGGTCAAATACTTATAGACATTACAGATGTTTCTGAAGGTTATGGCGAAATGAGTTTTAAAATGTATAGATTATGTATGGTTGTATAAAGATATAAGACTGTTTAATTAGTTTGCCTTAACAGAGAGGGTGATTAGAGGCAGGAAAGGAAGCATATTATTTCTAGATGAACAGTTCAAATCTTATCCAGACAGATTCTGTGTTGAGCTCTATCACCTTATAGGATTTGGTTTCTCAGTCCCCTTCCTACTGATATCTGCACGATTAATCTGGCAGAGTTGTGTACAGTGAAGATGCTGCTCCCTTGCGCTAGTTCTTCACTTTTGGCTATTGAGCATCTATTTGATTGCACCCTTGAAAGGAAAGTCTGATTACATGACCCAGATTAAATTAAATGATACAGTAGAGCCCCAACTCCATTCAAATTACTCCCCTATTTAGTCAAAAGGAAGTGATGTTTAAATAAATCCCTGCATGCTAGTCTCAGCCTGTGTCTGACTCGAGCTTACAATTAAGGATGCTAGTTGGAGTTGGTATGTATCAAAGCCTTTTTCCTCTAAATAAGGTTTGGGGTTCAGCTGCCCCAGCAGAGGTGGGGCATTATATCAGTGAAAGGGAAGAATTTAGTGTAATTTTTAAGAAGTGCTAGTTTGTTCTTGGTGAATGCTGACATGTTACAGCTAAAGTTTGCCACTATCAATCGCCTACTTTATGTGCAGCTACAGAAGCTGAGACGGGCAGAACCCCGCTGTATTCTTTCTGTAAAACAGGAAAAGGGAAAAGCCAAAAAGGCAGTAGTAAGTTATTAGAAAGCTTGTGGCTGAATTCAAGATTCTGGAGAGGCTTGCCTTACAAACAGCTGCTTATCTGAAATATTTATTTAGCTATCAAAGTGCAGTTTAAGTCAATATTGCTTGATACCCAGTATTAAAGTACAAAACCATTACAATTAAATATAAAAAGCATGTACAGGATGCCATCTGAGTTGCTTAGAGGCTGAAGGAAGAATCCTACTAGTGCATTCTTTCCATACAGAAATCCCAGCAGCGCTGTAGTTATAGGAGGACTGTCCAAGAGTCACAGACCTTTAGAAAAGAGTGTCCAGTCACTTACAGGTATACACAATACAACAACACTGGAACAAGGTCAATCTTCATGGGTACTAATGCTAAGAGACACCTACCACTAAGCTTTTAGGTTGGGCCATGCAAAGGGAGAAAAAAGGACTATACTACATCTAAGGGTTATGTTGATTTCAGCTCAGTACTTAGGACTTGTATAAACAAGCTTTCAGTGCACTTAAATCAAAACAGCTTCACTGCTTGTTACTGAAAAGGATCTGGAGGATTTAAGGTTTCTCTTTCAGTGTCTGCAACCCACAATGCACTGTGCTAGTGCAGGAGACCCAGAAAGTAAAAATACAGATGAGCCTCACCTGGGGAAGAGAAGGCAACTAGAAAAGAGTAAAGAAAAAGTAACTTTGGCTTTGATTTTATTAATGGCAATTTTATTCTATATAGATAATTGCTTAGCCCAATAGCTCTGTTTGTGTTACACAAAATAGGAACACATACTGTATCAGTGTAAAGACAAGTAGCCAAATTAAAAAATCGAATCTTACTGTCATGTTCCTCTCAGAAATGCTGTGTTTTTGCTTCCCAAAAGGTGTGCATTTGTGGGGATAAAGGAGAAAGCAGTACAACCTTTTAAGTTGAGTAATTTATGTGGTTTTACCCGCTACATGGAGAAGCACACATGAATGCGGATGTTTCCCTTGACAGTTTAGACTCACCGGACAGCTCATGAAAAGATTGGCTTCTCCGTCCATTCCACTAGTGATGGAGAACTCAGGATTGTGAAGACACTGATGACCATGTTCTGTTACACTGTCTTCTAGAAGTGACCGGAGCTTCTGTTCTGTCATACCCTGAGACAGAAATAGATGAAGAAACTCATCTTGTGTTTTTAAAGAGGATTTTCTGAGCAGTAGTTTTGCAGCAAGTTTACCTAACTCTCAGAACTAGCATTTCTGACTACACAGCTCATATGGTAGATTATTTACTTCAGATGAAAGCTTTCCCTACATGGGGTTTTCTCAGGTGTGGTTTTTTTTAACATGATGCTTAGATGAGTGAGATTACATAGGGCCATATCTGCTCCCACTCCCCTGCTGCTTAGTTTTACAACCATTCCATTCAGCATACTTCTAGGATGGGCTCTACAAACCACAGTTTGAAAACAGCTCTGTTGAGCCACCTTTCCATTAAGCACGTGCAAGAGGACCAAGACGGGGGGCATGAAAACATGAATGACCGACATCAGCAACATTTGAAAGAAGGGCAACTTTGCCCAGAACTAAGGAACTACAACACTTCAGGTAGAGTTTACCTGTGTGCTGATGTATAATCCACACTGGCATAAAACCAAGTGACTTGTCACAGTCAGATGATTCCTAGAAACAGAACAAAGCATGAGTTAGACACCCCTAAAGGAGAAGAGAACATTGAATTCTATCAGGCCTGAAATTAGATGTTAGAAGCATCTCCCACAGGATTTGTGCCTCTTGAACAGTTGTTACAATCAAACCCTTACTAGAGAAAGAGGTCTGATTTTTTTCCTCAAGGAAGAGGCCATACTGTCTCCAGACAGAGGATGGCTATCATCTCAATGCAGAATCCCCTGTACTACTTATGGATATTTTTATCTTCAGAATCTCTTATAGCAAGCTTTAAGAGAGGCATAAAGCTGCAGTGTACAAATCACACTTTGCACAAAACATAAGGGAGCTGCTCGTCTTACAGAATATTGCTGTTAAAAAGCGTATTGAGTTCCACAGCGGGCTGCATACCAGTGTTAAGTGAAGAGATCCATAAACCTCTTATTACAGCAAGAATGAATGAAGCCAGATTTCATCAGCCAATCAACAGTTGCTAGAAATGAATGCATTAAAATGTTTAGGCTTTGAGAACATCATTACATACTTGGCTGAATTCAGAAGGTCTACTGGAGGGTAAGGTAGTTAACATACAGCATGTAGTGATAGGAACCCGTCTCACCTTTTACACACTGGACAGGTAATCTTGCTGCCTGTGTCCAAGCCGTCAAGGATTGCATTGAAGCACTCCTGGTCAAACTGTAGACTCCGTTCATACTCTTGTATGGTCAACTGCTCTGTTCAAGCCCAGAAAACAAAAACCAGCTGTCACTGGCTACTGGCTTAAGACACTTGTCAAGATAAAATTGTTATGGCTATTCAGAGAGCTGGATTTGAGAAATACTGGGTTTGTCAGTATTTCTAACTTGTTTTTCTTTAGGGAATTCTGACTTAATTTTTTACTCATGATGCCCACTGAAAAGAGGATGCTAACCTAATTCTGCCCATTATATCTTCCATTTAAAGATCTCAAAGTAGTTTACAAGCATTAATCAACCGCACCTTACATCTCCTTATCTTATAGATGGGGAAACATGGATTGTGATTTGGCCAAGGTCAAAGAGTGTCTAAGCCTGAAGCTTCTGGATCCCAGTCCTATGATCAGATTATTTCAGAGGATACAAGAGAGGATGTGTGTGCAATCAGGATTGTCATGTGGTCAATGATTCCTCATGGGAAAGTCAAATTAGGGTGAGACAGCCATAAATCAAATACTTTATATATTATCAGGGTTCAGGAACTCTTATTTCATATCAGAGATAACCTTCACATTTTCTATTCTTAATGGAAATACTGGAGCATTTTTGAAAATTTGCTTATCCAGCAATTGGCCTTCCAACCCTTCAGAAGGAAGCTAAAACTCATGTCCTTTGTTGGCACTTTCCACATCCCATGATTTAATTCCCAATTCTTTGGTAGCATTGCTTTGTTACATCTCCAATCACAACCAGCCACCTGCCAGGATCCCAAAGCATCTGAGATCATAGACTTTTAAAAAGAATCTTTTGGAAGCATGAGATTTCTGAGCCAAGAAGAAAGTCCGGCTTCAAATAAATGGATGACAAGGATTTCAGGAAGGTTAAAAATGACTCAGGGTAGGTCTATTAACAGGTCAAGATGTAATTTTTTTTTGAAAATTTACCTTGCAAAATCAACTCTTGCTGGATTTCCTCCAGTACTGCTTGTTCATCAGGGTCCTCCCACACCTGAAATGTACATCAATCAGTATTCCTCTCTTTAGGCAAGTGGGGGACGGGGGGCATTATTTCATAGCACCAACAGGACAGTATTGTTTTGAAATACACAAACAATCCAGTGTAATCAAACACATGACTGTGCTGACTTTGCAATGACAGTTTCCTGAATTTGCATCATTTGTTTGCAGTTAGCAAGCAGAGGTTTCCAGACTCCTTTGACCAGTTTCCCCTCCTCTGTGAAACAGCTGTTTGTGCATGGACAAGGTAGCAAATTCTGCCCCCTCTCCCTGTTAAGGTCAAACCTCAGCATTTTATCCCCATGCCAAGAAACTACTAGACAAATAACACTAATCTTTCAAAATCAGGCACAAAAACCATCACCCAAAAGTCACAAGAATCTCATGGTTGAGGATAAAAACAGCAAGCAGTTAACTCCGGTCATCTGAAGAAGTGGACTGTGCCCACGAAAGCTCATAATACCATCTATGTGTTTTGTTAGTCTATAAAGTCCTACCAGACCATTTGCTTGCTGTTTTTTTCTGTAACAGACTCTCTCAGCTACCCCCTGAAGCTCCTGAATGGTTGAGGATGGAGATGCAGTTTGTAACATTGGTAGGCAGGGAAGCTGTGTATAGGGCAGATCTGAGATGATGTGCAAGAATCCAGCACACTGACCTGAGACAGCGCCTGCAAGGCCTGCCACTCCTCCTCCATCACTTCCTGCACCAGAGCACCCCTGGCATTGCAATGCACATTCTCCCCAGCCTGGCGATATCGATCCAGCAGCTTGGCACGACTGTTTTTAAGTCTCTCCACACAGCGCTTTGAGAAAAGAGAAAATAAATGATGCAGGATACATTAGCATCATGTCTTTTCTTTCGGCTGGACTACAGGGCAGCCAGATACTGCGATTTTATAGCTCACGGACATAACTGAAGAAAACGGAACAATTATAGGATTGTAATACCAACATGGTTTGGGGAAGCCCCACCAGCCAGCTGGACGGAACCAGAGACCTAGTCAGGCTCCTAGACCATTAGCGGACAGGACTACAGGAGACCAAGAACAATTCAATTTGGCTGGGCAGATGGGATCCCAGTTCTCCAGGCAGAAGGTAAGATGGGGGAAAAGGTCTGTATTTTCTACCCAGTCTCTAACATATAGGGACCAAATTTGTATGGTATTTTACTATATTCACCCTCACATGTGTTCAGATACATACTTGGCTGGCAATTCTTTGGCTTCTTCTGGCTAGACATTATTTGTTTTGCCATCAGCCAGCTGTTT